AAATCCTGTAAAAATCAGTAAAAGCCTGATAGCAGTTAAAATATAACCTTTATTATTTTTGCCTTAAAAAAGGATCCAATCCAATAACATCAATAGGATACATAACGTTTATTATCTTAACCCCTTAAGGACACAGCTTCAGAAGCTTGACTTACGCTTAATGACACAAGCAATTTTTGCATTTTCTTGCTGTTTGCGTTCAACTGCAGTTTGCATCTCTCTCATTTATTGCACCGACACATATTATATACTGTTTTTTAAAGGACAGAAAGGGCTTTAATTTGATATAACATATATATATATAAATGCTTACTTATTATAAAAAAAATACAGAAAAATGCAAAAAAAATGAAAAATATTGTTTTTTTTTTTACAGTTTTTGCAATAATAATGTGTGCATAATTAGTGCAGGTTAAGGAAAGTAATTAAAAATAAATTTATTTATTTGTTCTGATTTTACAGAATATATAATGTGTCTGGGATTTTAAGTTTTTTTTTTTGGTAGTTACAGGTCACAAAGCACAAGGAGTAAAATAAACTTTTAATGTGGAGCGATTTTAGAATTTGGTATGTTTGTCTTGTAAGCTTAATAGCCATAAAAGAAAACAAAATTGCTACACAAAAGTATATATTTATATAAAGTAGACATCACGGGCTATTTACCTAAGGTTGTTTTGACACTTTCTACGTAGCCATTTCACCGCCAACCTCTGCTAAATATTGGAGTAAAATTGTGTTCTTTTTGGTTTTTGGCACTCAAACTTACAGGGAGTGCAGAATTATTAGGCAAGTTGTATTTTTGAGGATTAATTTTATTATTGAACAACAACCATGTTCTCAATGAACCCAAAAAACTCATTAATATCAAAGCTGAATATTTTTGGAAGTAGTTTTTAGTTTGTTTTAGTTTTAGCTATGTTAGGGGGATATCTGTGTGTGCAGGTGACTATTACTGTGCATAATTATTAGGCAACTTAACAAAAAACAAATATATACCCATTTCAATTATTTATTATTACCAGTGAAACCAATATAACATCTCAACATTCACAAATATACATTTCTGACATTCAAAACAAAAACAAATCAGTGACCAATATAGCCACCTTTCTTTGCAAGGACACTCAAAAGCCTGCAATCCATGGATTCTGTCAGTGTTTTGATCTGTTCACCATCAACATTGCATGCAGCAGCAACCACAGCCTCCCAGACACTGTTCAGAGAGGTGTACTGTTTTCCCTCCTTGTAAATCTCACATTTGATGATGGACCACAGGTTCTCAATGGGTTCAGATCAGGTGAACAAGGAGGCCATGTCATTAGATTTTCTTCTTTTATACCCTTTCTTGCCAGCCACGCTGTGGAGTACTTGGACGCGTGTGATGGAGCATTGTCCTGCATGAAAATCATGTTTTCTTGAAGGATGCAGACTTCTTCCTGTACCACTGCTTGAAGAAGGTGTCTTCCAGGAACTGGCAGTAGGACTGGGAGTTGAGCTTGACTCCATCCTCAACCCGAAAAGGCCCCACAAGCTTATCTTTGATGATACCAGCCCAAACCAGTACTCCACCTCCACTTTGCTGGCGTCTGAGTCGGACTGGAGCTCTCTGCCCTTTACCAATCCAGCCACGGGCCCATCCATCTGGCCCATCAAGACTCACTCTCATTTCATCAGTCCATAAAACCTTAGAAAATCAGTCTTGAAATATTTCTTGGCCCAGTCTTGACGTTTCAGCTTGTGTGTCTTGTTCAGTGGTGGTCGTCTTTCAGCCTTTCTTACCTTGGCCATGTCTCTGAGTATTGCACACCTTGTGCTTTTGGGCACTCCAGTGATGTTGCAGCTCTGGAATATGGCCAAACTGGTGGCAAGTGGCATCGTGGCAGCTGCACGCTTGACTTTTCTCAGTTCATGGGCAGTTATTTTGAGCCTTGGTTTTTCCACACGCTTCTTGCGACCCTGTTGACTATTTTGAATGAAACGCTTGATTGTTCGATGATCACGCTTCAGAAGCTTTGCAATTTTAAGAGTGCTGCATCTCTCTGCAAGATATCTCACTATTTTTTACTTTTCTGAGCCTGTCAAGTCCTTCTTTTGACCCATTTTGCCAAAGGAAAGGAAGTTGCCTAATAATTATGCACACCTGATATAGGGTGTTGATGTCATTAGACCACACCCCTTCTCATTACAGAGATGCACATCACCTAATATGTTTAATTGGTAGTAGGCTTTCGAGCCTATACAGCTTGGAGTAAGACAACATGCATAAAGAGGATGATGTGGTCAAAATACTCATTTGCCTAATAATTCTGCACTCCCTGTATAACAGAGAAATTCTCGTGTATATTTTGTAAAGTTGGTGTGTGCTATTCCTGTACAAAGTTTTATTTTGTGTTCAGTTACATCTGCTGAGTAAAATGACACCCCCATTGTATGTCTTTTGCACTATTTCGTGAAGTTACAGTGCCATACAGGATACCTGTCCTTTTCAGTATTCACAGTAGAATTTTGAGAGATGGATTTAATGAGCCCTAGCTTCCATTTTGGGGTATTATAACAGTTTGGCTGTTCAAAAACCCCCCACAAAGGCCTACCATTTGTAAAAGTAGACACTCCAGGGTATCTTACAAGGTGCATATTGTGCCTTAACATGCCCCCATTTTTTCACCAATATATGCCAAAGTATGTGGTAAAAAATAATTTTGTGCATTTTTTACATACGGATTGCATTTTTGCTGGGCGTTTTGTATATTTCATATGTGCCACTAAGTTCAAACCCCCAAATTATGCTCAGCTAAGTCTTCTGAGTAAAATGACACCCCATATGAATGTTTTTGGCACTATTTCGTGAAGCTACAGTGCCATATAGGAGACCTGTCCTTTACAGTATTCACAGTAGAATTTTGAGAGATGGATTTAATGAGCCTTAGCTTCCATTTGGGGTGTTATAACAGTTTGACTGTTCAAAAAACCCCCACAAGGCCTACCATTTGTAGAAGTAAGACACTCCAGGTATCTTATAAGGTGCATATTGTGCCTTAACATACCCCATTTTTCACCAATATATGCCAGTATGTGGTAAAAAATAATTTTGTGCATTTTTACATCACCGGTTGCATTTTGCTGGACGTTTTTGTATATTTCATACGTGCCACTAAGTTCAAACCCCAAATTATATATTTAAGTCTTCTGAGTAAAATGACACCCCATATACTTATGAATGTCTTTGGCACTATTTCGTGAAGCTTACAGTGCCATATGGGAACTTACAATCGCTACAGTATTATTCACAGTAGAATTTTGAGAGATGGATTTAATGAGCCTTAGCTTCCATTTGGGGTATTATAACAGTTTGACTGTTCAAAAACCCCACAAAGGAGCCTACCATTTGTAAAAAGTAGGAGCACTCAGGGTATCTTGCAAAGGTGCATATTGTGCCTTAACATGCCCCCATTTTTTCACCAATATATGCCAAAGTATGTGGTAAAAAAATTATTTTGTGCATTTTTTACATACAGATTGCATTTTTGCTGGGCGTTTTGTATATTTCATATGTGCCACTAAGTTCAAACCTCCCAAATTATGCTCAGCTAAGTCTTCTGAGTAAAATACACCCCCAATGAATGTCTTTGGCACTATTTCGTGAAGCTACAGTGCCATATAGGAGACCAAGCCATATCCGTTTTTACCAAACTTTGAATTTTGACGCTGTGCCTATGTGCAATTTCCAAGCATCTTCGCGGGTTTTAAATTCAAACTACCCCACAAAGGCCTACCATTTCTTAAAGTAGACACCCCAGGGTGTTTCAAAGGTATAGTTTGAACCTTAGCGTGGGATCATTTTTCCGCTAGCTTGTACCAGATGTAGTGGTAATAAGCGTTTTTTCTGCCTTTTTGACATACAAAGTGAGTTTGCACAGTATATTTTGCAAAACCTTATGTGTGCTACGACTGTATAATACTTCATATGTTGCTCAGCTATGTCGGCTGAGTACAGCAATACCCCCGTATGTACCTTTGCCAGGTATGTGTGGACATCGGAGGGGCACATTTGGGACTCAGCCATTCCAGTTTTTTTCAAACTTTGAATTTTTATGCTGTGCCTATGTCCCATTTTAGAGTATTTTACCAGGCTATATAATCCAAATTCCCCATAAAGCCATACCATTTCTTAAAGAAGACATCCCAGGGTATTTCAAAAAGGCATATTTTGAACCTCAGCGTGGGATCATTTTTCTGCTAGCTTGTACCAAGTGTAGTGGTAATAAGCATTTTTTCTGCCTTTTTGACATACAAAGTGAGTTTGCACAGTATATTTTGCAAACCTTATGTGTGCTACGACTGTATAATACTTCATATGTTGCTCAGCTATGTCGTCTGAGTACAGCAATACCACCGTATGTACCTTTGCTAGGTATATGTGGATGTTGAAGGGGCGCATTTGAGACGCAGCCATTCCGTTTTTTTCTAACTTTGAAGTTTCACACTGTGTCCATGTTCCAATTTGGAGTAGTTTAGATGGTTGGTTATTGAAACTTCCCCACAAACACATACTATTTATTAAAGAATACACCCTGGGGTAATTCAAAAGGCATATTTTGAACCTTGGCGTGGGATAATTTTTTCTCTAGTTTGCTCCAGGTGTAGTGGTAATGAGCGTTTTTAAAATGTATTTTTTTACTTTTTATAACTTTTTACTTTTAAAAACTAGTTTTTAAACTTTTGTTTTGCTTATAAATTTTTTTTAAACTTTCCTAAACTTTCTTAAAACTTTTTACAGATTTAACATTTTTCTAAGCTTTTTTTTTTACCGTTAACCCCTAACTAGCAGTACGCAGCACTAACAGTAAATTCCCCATTTTCCCATAACTCCCACCCACCCCAGCTAGCAAAATATATAGTTATAAAATATTTAAATTAATTAAATAAATTGAACCCCTGAGGGTTAAAAAAATAAATAAAAGTTAATCCTCAGGGGTTAAAAAAATTAGATCACAGTATAATACTGTGATCTCTATTTGATCGCTGTAGGCAGTGATCGACTGGCAGGGAAGGGGTTAATTTTTATTTGGACTAGGTAAAGTGTGTTTTTTTTGTTTTTTTTACTTAAATGTTATTAAAACATTTTTTTAAGCTTAATTTTTAACTTTTTAAAGTTTCTTTTAAAACTTTTTTTAACGTTAACCCCTAGTTAGCCTAACGCCAAATCCCCCAATTCCCCACTAACTTCCACCCACCCCAGCTATCTAAATATATAATTAAAAATAATTTAATTAATTTAATTTAACCCCTGAGGGTTAAAAAAAAAAAGAATTAACCCTCAGGGGTTAAAAAAAAAATCAGATCATAGTAAAATGTAATCCCTGCCAATTGATCACTGTAGTCAGTAATCAATTGGCAGGGAAGGGGTTAATTTTTTATTAAAATGGGTAAGGGGGGGGGGACTTTAAATAAACTTTATTTTTTTTTACAGCAGGGGGCAGGATCACACTGATCCGGCTCCCTGCACTTCACACAGAACCCGGAAGTGCAGGGAGCCGGTAGGTGAGTATAGAGAGCACATGTGCTTGCTCAGACTTGCGGTCAGAGCGAGCACATGTGCTGGGCAGACTGACCGGGTGCTCCCGGTATGCCTCTAATGCAGAGGCATACCGGGAGCACCATTAACCCCGCGATCGCCGCGATAGCGGCGATCCGGGGTTAATTTTACCGCGTGACGGACGAGGTCCGTCACCCGTCGTTAAGGGTCTCCCCTGTGTGACGGACCTCGTCCGTCACCCGTCCTGAAGGGGTTAATAAATAGGAGACAAATCATAAAGTTCCATGTTTGAAGTTTAAACTTAATATCTAGCTTAACCCCTTAAGGACACATGACGTGTGTGATTCCCTTTTATTCCAGAAGTTTGGTCCTTAAGGGGTTTATGTAGCCCAAACTAGAGGATGTCGGATAAATCGAATTCTAGTAAAACCAATTACATAGATAGTCACTATATCGAATTATATCCTTTACTACCCTAAGAGAGATAGCAAAATATTAAATATCAGATAAAAGAAAGTCCACGATCATTGGAGCAAAAAGTGACTCCCTAGAGGGGTAGAGCTGCTAAATAGGGAAAGCTCAAAGTCAATACAAAATAAAAATAAAAAAATAAGAAGAAGCAAAGATGGGAGAGGGGGAAATATATACCAATAAATCTATCAATTCCTGTTCTGTATCTTCGAGGGCACCTATCTTAAATCCCTTGCCCCCCTGTTCTTACTGCATCCTAAGGCTATCAATACAAAATAGTAGTAGTAAAGGATATAATTTGATATAGTGACTATCTATGTAACTGGTTATACTAGAGTTCTATTTATCTGACATCCTTTAGTTTAGGCTACAGTAAGCTAGATATTAAGTTTAAACTTAAAACATGGAACTTTATGATTTGTCTCCTTCTATTTATTAAGATAATAAAGGGTTATGTATCCTAGTTTTCCCCCAAATTCTTTATTTGTTGCTTTATGCGTTTAGATGAATTAACAAAGAGGGGTTGAACATTGTAAATGAAACATTGCATGAAATCAATAGTGGTTCTAATAGCATCTGTTTGCTAGGACCGTTAAAGGTTGGTGGTCGCACCAAAGGACAGTACGTCTTGTTCCAGGTCTCTGGGGTAGATCGTTCCTCACTCCAGGCCAACTCGCAGCCCCCCTCCCCCTCCCTGGCGGAGGCTCCTTTCTGGGCAAAGCCATGACCCCCCGCACAGCAGGCCCGGAATAAAGGTTATATTTTAATTGCTATCAGACTGGATTTTGCTCTGTGCAATTTTTCTATACTCTACTCACTGGGTTCATGCCCTATTCTCGTTTCCAGACTCCTTTTATAGGAGTCTCCAAATGTATCCCCCTCCAAATGTATCTTTCTAATCAGTTTGCAAATATACTACTTTTTTTGTAAACTCCTTGTCCATTTCTGAGTGCCATCTTTAGAGGTGGATACCATTTTCACTGGCAAGCATATTGGACATTACAAGGTTTTATTTATTGTATTACTACTACTTATTTTTATTTATTTACCTTTTTTGAATAAATATTCTTTGCTTTGGAAAATACCTTCCATGGTTCATCTTGCCAAGCATATTGGACATTACAAGGTTTTATTTATTGTATTACTACTACTTATTTTTATTTATTTACCTTTTTTGAATAAATATTCTTTGCTTTGGAAAATACCTTCCATGGTTCATCATTGAGGGGAGACTGACTACAACAAGCATCAAAGAGGTCTGGGGATCACCCAATTAAGATCCCAGAGGAGATCCACACCAGAGCCAGGTTATATTATATGGCTCTTCCATTGTGAGTGAATTTGACACATATTTTATTAAGAGTTTGTGTACAGCAATATTTGCACTATTTTTGTATCTCTCTATTTCCCACAGCTTAAATTTAGAAGAAAGAGAAGTATTAATTTTATTTTTCTTTCTTTCATTATCACCATTTGCTCCACCTATTTCTTCGTGTTTTGTATGTTATTTTATGTGAAGGTGTAGGGGATACCTCACTGGTGTGTTTGAGCAAATATCACTTCTTTTGACATACCTGTGTTATTATTCCATATACCATATTTGTACACTTGATTTGTTAAACTCTAGTTTGGCATGAGAGGTGAAACGGTCTTGTGATGATGAATGCCAAGTGGTTATGAAGCCTAAATTAGCCAGAACACATTTTTTAATTAACTTGAAAACAAAAGACTCTAATTTTGCCTTATCAATTTCATGCTGGTGAATAT